TAAAATAGACATAAAAAAAAACTTGGAAATTGTACTAAGGTAGTAGAATTGCCGTTGAGTAGGCTGAAGAATCTCAGCGTACAAAGAAAAATTAAAAAGTTGACTTCAGTCAGAGTTCAGTTACTCATAGATGACACCAATCTCATCACCATCATCAAAACATTCAGAGTCGTAACCACCTAGTTTAACCGTAGTCGCGGCGCCAGCTTTGGTTTTGATGTAGTTCTTCTTTCGGCACTCGGAAGATTGGTGGCCACGTTTGCCACAGTTGGAACAGGCTAGTTGTTTGTCTGATGCAGCAGAGACAAGGTCGTGTTGGCCGGTCCCATTAAGGCTGACCTCATGAGCTTCCAACGCTCCGATAGTGTCGTCCAACGACATTTCTTTTGCAGTATAGACGACTGAGTCTCTGACGGCTGACCAAGAGGGATCAAGTCCACCGACTAAACGATCAGCAATTTGACGATCAGTCGGAAGTTCTTCGATGGAGAGAAGATCATCGGCAGCTACCCTAAGACAACCGATCCACAATGCGATCGGTTTGTTAGGATCGTGACGAACATTCCAGAAAGCTTCCTGCAATCGTATTCGACGGGCCCGAGTGTTTTTCTCGTAAGCGTTAACGATGGTTGTGTACAGTCGAGAAGCCGGCTTGACCTTCCTGTATTGTTGAGCTAGTGGATCAGTCAGTGTGAGACGGATAGTTGAACAAGCCATCTCGGACAGCGCATCCCAGTCTTCTTTTGACTCCTTTGGGTTGTATCCTTTGGAATCGGCCGTGCGAGAGGAGATGGTAGCGTCCTTCAACTCTTCTTTTGGACGTGGGAGGGTACCTTTAACAATATCGAGAGTGTTTTGCATCCCTAGAACGTCCTCGAGACGAGAGCGCCATCGGGGAAAAACAGCCGCAGTTCCGTCCAACGACTCAATGGTCGACACTAACGAGGAAACATTCTGAATTTGTCTGTAGCCCAACATGATTGAATGTTGGTTGATCGATGTCCGCAGAGAGAGATCGTTTGCGAGTGGAACCAAGTGCTGTTTGTATCTTGATTGATGATGGAAAAAAAAATCGAGAGTATGTAAGAGCGAGACTAAGAGGGTCTCATAACCTGTTGAGGGGCACCAGGGACTGAAACACTGAGTGAGGTCGAGACTCACGAGTGAACTTGACGATGAGAATATAAGTATTGTTATTCAGTGAGGAAAGCATATTGAGTAGAGATCCGGTGACTAAGTAGCAATGGGAGGCTTGATATAAGCATAACTGGGTACAAGCATACGAGTACTACAATACGGGATTGACTAATCCAACAATAGTTATGCTGAATATGTAGTGTAGTATGTAGTAATGGTGATGTACCATGATGAATGAGTGATTCTACATAGAGACTGTAACTATATAATGTGTAATGTATATGTACTGTATGTATAAAGTAATGTACTGTTCTGTAACTATGAATATACTGAAGAGATGATAACTAGAGAACTATAAGAGGTACTGAAAAGCTGTAAGAAGTGACTAGGGGTGAAATAATGTGTAGAGTCTGAATATGAAATAATACTGGGAAGAATATTTGTAAATGGTGAAGAAAAATGAGGATACATGGAAAGGTATGGACATACCACATCGGCAGTCGCAAGGTACATGTACCTTGCCGGCAAGGTGCGTGTAACTCTTGCCGGCTGGAAGGGAACCCTTCCAGTTGACAAGGTACTTGTACCTTGCCGACTTGAAGGAGAAACCCTTCCAGTCGGCAGTCAACAAGGTACATGTACCTTGCCAACTGGAAGGAGAAACCCTTCCAGTCGGCAGTCAACAAGGTACATACATGTACCTTGCCAACTGGAAGGAGAAACCCTTCCAGTCGGCAGTCAACAAGGTACATGTACCTTGCCGACTGGAAGGAGAAACCCTTCCAGCTGGCAGTTGGCAAGGTACATGTAACTCTCGCCGGCTGGAAGGAAATCCTTCCAGTCAACAAGGTCCATGTACCTTGTTGACTGGAAGGAAACCCTTCCAGCCGGCCATTGGCCTTGGTTATCCGCTGAAAAATCAGGGGAAATGGCACATCCGCACCCAAACCCACATCCACTGGCGGGTATCCGTTACAGCAGGTGGGTATCCGCCAGCAGATAACGGGTATCCACAACAGATACCCGGAGACCATCTCTAGCTGAGAGTATACCCTCTTGGTGGCCGGGAGGATTCCTCTTGGCTGCAGAGAGGGTACACTCTCCACAACTGAGAGGGATTCTCTTGGTCATTGAGAGTGTATACTCTCTAGAGGCTGAGAGGAGTATACACTCTTGGCAACCAAGAGGGCCCTCTTGTAGCTGAGAGCTGTACACTCTCAGCAGCCAAGAGGAATCCCTCTCGGTTGGAGAGTGTAGGCCTCTTGGACTGCTGAGAGTGTACAGCTCTCAGCAACTGAGAGGGATCAGCAGCCAGGAGGAAGATGTTTGGAACATTTGGAAGACATACAGGGGGTTGTGTGAGCTAGTAAAAAAAAAACTTGGTTGTAATTTTCAAGCTTGCATAACTGCAAGCTTTCCTGTGTTAGCTGTATATTGGTGCCAAACAAGGCCTGAGATTATAATATAAGAGCATCTCCAGTGCGGTAGGTAAATTGGGTTGCTCAACCCAATGTACTGTTGTGGTTGCTATCTTGGGTTCTAAATTTTCAAAACAGCTCCCAAGTAGCTAGAGGGTTGCTACATCTAGCAACTGCCTATAACCCAAGTTAGAGCTTGGGAAGCATGAAACACACACCCTTCTCCCTCCCAAAATTGACACTCATCACATTTCTGTTGGACACAACTTGGTCAGAGTTTGAGGTTTGTGGAAGGATGAATTGATTGCATTAGTTCAGAGAGAAACAAACATCAACAGAGAAAGAAAAGAAAAAAGAGTGAAAAGAAAAGAAAAGAACAGAGATGACTACATACCTCGGTACCAAGTTTGAGGTTTGTGGAAGGATGAGGAGAAGAATCCTTCCACGTACTCTTGCCCAGGTATTCTTTGGATCTTGTGACATGTGAGTAAAACAGTGACAGAAGGTGAGAATTCACATAAAAGGCAAGAAAAGAAGAGAGACTGAAAGACTACTCCAACAATTTCACATCAATTTCACTTTGGAAACCTCAAAGATTTACCACTTTGCAGTGACATGCATCCTGAGCTTGGTAGGTATTAAATCTAGATCTCAGTTGCTAAAACCTCACTTTTAGTGACCTGGATTGTTGTAACCCAGTTATTTGGGTTAACACCAGACTCACTAGACACTGGCTTAGAGCTTGTCTGTCCAGGTTTGTTCTGATAATTAGAATCATCATTCACAAACCTCAACATGGATTTACCAACCACAGTGAAGATGCGGCAAGTATGCACCATTCATATACTTTTACTCACAAGTATTAAAAAGTTTTCAAAATGAGCACTTGGAAGCAGTTGGGATTGGAAAGGAAAATGAATAAATAAAATGTTGACTTTGCCCCAGATGTGAATTACCTAAAGATATCCATATAATGATTAGTGGCTACACAAAGATCTAGAAAGAGTACATCATATAGAAATCTAATTACAACTTTACTGCCCCACACCCCAACCTTGCATATTCTCCATTTTGCCCAAGAACAAAGAAAATGAAAAAAAGACTAAAATTAACTGTCATGCTTTTGTTTGCATCTCTTGTTAACTCAGAAGATAGTCTAAACACATAACAAAAAAAATAACAGTTCTTTCTACTTATGCATATATAATAATATTTACAGCTTTGTAGGAATGGAAGGAGTATTCTTGGTCTTGAAAAGAATATGTAGCATTTATTGAACAGGTGGACCATTCTTGGAACTAATCAGAAACATGTATTTCCTGAGTGCTCATTTCCATTCTCCTTTTTTTTTTGTTCTTGCAATGTTTTAAAGTGCATGTATACATACCAGGATATCAGTAGGTGAAGGGAAGATAATTGAAGTTAGTCCAACTCATCATAATCACAATTTTGATAGAATGTTGCTTGAGACTAGGTGATGACTTTATCAGTCACTATCATCTTCAACAAATTCCGCACTTTTCTGAATTCATTTGAGGGGATAAAATAGGCACAGGTCAGGAGAGTGCGCATTTAGATCACGAAGCAGCATAAAAGAACGCTATAGGCAAGCAGATAGACTCACATAAATTTTGCCGGATTTCTTTTTAGAGCTTCTGTTAACAGGTTTTGCATCATCTGAGTCGTAATTCTCATCTTCGCCGGTTGATATCGCCCGGTTGGAACGGTTGTTTGTTTGATCTTCTTTTTGGTTACTTTGCTTTTTGGTTCGCTGTTGTTTCAGGGAGTTAATGGAGAAAAGATGATAACAAATTCAGTATTTTTCGAAATAAAACATTGTATGTCAATAGATGATCGGAGGAGAATCGCGCAAGACTTACTTTACGCTTGCGCTTCTTTTCTTCCTGTTCAGAGCCCTCATCGACCTCATCATCAGGAACAATGGTTATCCCAGTTTCTTTATTGTTTTTCCGTTTTCCACCTCCACCTTTGCGTTTCTTCTTAGTTCCATCCTCACTCTCGTTGTCGGAGTTGGCTTGTTTGATGTACCAAGTGGCAACAGATTCTTGCATCTCCTGTCGCTTACGTGTCAATTCTTCATTCTTTGCTGCTATTTCTTCAAGTCGCAATCGCTAATGAAGATCATCAAGTTAGAGAGATACGAAAAATTATTAGCTTCTGTTCAGTCGGGTTTTGGTGAAAGCTTGAGTTTTAAATCGATCATCATTAGTTTGATCATTTACCTCTGCCTCGGCCAACCTTTGCCGTTCATTTTCTCTCTCCTGACGAGCTCTTTCAATTTTTGCTATCTCAGAGGATTCATAAGCTTCTTGAGATTCAGACAACTCGCTCGTCCTCCGCAAAAGACTTTCTCCATATCGTTTTCGTTGATGCGCAATGTCAATGTCAAACGGTACCGTTCCTGCAGGCTTTGAAGCCAATTCACCGAACGCTCTAAATGCGTGTGAAAGATAACCGTCAAGTTACGCATAGTGATGACCAAAAGATGGATCAAAAGATGGCAAGCAACTATGACCCACTCTTGTGCTAGCTGAGCATCAGCTATAGCTGTTTTGATTTCCGCAAGCGTCCGTTTGGAAGGAGGCAAGTCAACTAGCAACTCCAATCCCTTTTGCTGCACCAGGGCTAGATTGAACGCGATCGCTCCATCTTTCGGATGATGCTCTTTTGCCTAGGATATTTTGGTAAGTGTTTGTGTGCGACAACCAAGAAATAAGCATGTTTTCTCCATTGCGAAGAAAAAGCCTCAGGAGAGGCGATAACAAACTCAGCATACAACAGGACTTACGGTTTGAACAAATGTCAGCGCACTGCGCAAAGCCGCAAAGCTCCGGTCTTTGCTGGCTTTTTGATACCATGCTCGAGCCAGATACAGTAAGACCAAAACGTTTTTATCGTCATAGAACCGTTTCGAGGCAGTAAAATACTGCAATAGCCAGTACATACAGTCAATATCATTTTTTTTATAGAAAGAACCGAATATCTTCCCGGTAAGGACAATCATAGGGCTTACATTTTCAATAGCGCGATCGAATTCGTCTCGTAAATAATGGCAATGTCCCAAGTTAACATATACACTTCCATCGTTGTGCGCCTCCCTAACTTTAGTCAGGATAGTGATAGAGTCGCGAAGATTTTTGGCCCTGACATTGCTAGCGTCGGGGGCAAATGCTCCGTTGGAACTGGGTGCGTTGACATTACTAGGAGAGATGACGTGCTCGGCAAGGGCGATCGCAAGGCCTTGAGCCGCAAATGCACACTGAGGATCGAGTTGCAATGCTTTCTCGAAAAACTCAGTCAGCGGAAGAATTTACTGGCTCGATCTAAACTTGCTTCGGGTCCAATTGCCTTATTTTCTCTAGCTTGGGTGTAAAGTAATGCACCTGATGCACATAGGGCGTAGACATCTGATTTATCGTGGTCTTTGAGGGTCGCAACAGTAAAATCTCGAGCTTGTTTGATTTGATTAGACTCGATCAAAAAATATGTATAAAGCGCCCTGAGTTCGCCATTGCCTGTCTGTGAAGTCAGGGCTTCCTTGAGGAGAGCATTGGTCTTGTCGTAGTTCTTTTCCGATAGATACATGAGTGCCAAGCGAGCTTTGGCATCAACATATTCGGGATGCCGAAGTAAGATGCGTTCGTAGATATCTTTGGCTTTTGCTTTATCCTTTGCTTGTTCACAGATCACCCCAAGATTGAAGAGCATACAAACAGCAGTCCGCTCATTGATTTCCCTTTCGGTCTCGTCACCAACAACTGCACTAGCTGTGGCAGCTAACGCGCTTTCGATTCGTTCTTGAGCTTCGGTAAGATGTCCATTTTTCCATTCCAAAACACCAATGTTATTCAACAACATCGCCGGGATAGGTTTGCCTAAATCTTCTCGTACCGTTAGTGACTGTCGGTAAGCTTTGAGGGAACGATTGATGTCTGTATCACTTGATAGTCGAGCAATCTCTATATACAGATCTGGGTCGCTAGCCACTTCTCGAATTCGGGGAGGCATCATACCTTCGTCATCCGGTTTCATCGAGTGGTTTTTGACTCGAGTAGCAAACAAACGTGTGATTTGTTCATGCAATTCTTTTGCCTTCGTTTTTTCAGAACTAGCTTCGGTTGAAGAGCTGGAAGTGAAAGCCAAATGTGTTCGGAGTGCAGCTAGGTTGGCCAAAGCTTCTATACATCTAGGTTGTCTCCGTACAACGTTTTCAAACATATTGATGGCAATACCAAACTCATCTAATCGAACAGAAGCGCAGTTAGAAAGTATGATCTAGTATGTTAAGGAGATCAGAACAAGTTTAGAAAATGACCCACTTCGGGCAACAAGAATTTGAGCGACACCCAGAATCGAAGTCAGGACGGAACGTTCGGGAGGAGCAGCGGCTCTGTATTCCCTCATAGCCTCGTTGAGCTTGCCTTGTGCGTGGAAAGCCCTCGCAAGAACCAAGCGAGCTTCTACTGCGGTTGAAGCTGTGTTGGCATATTGCACTGCTCGCTCAGCCATTTTGGTAGCCTGATAGATCATTCAAGAAATGCAGATTAGATTATTATTATTGAAGAACCGCATGTAACAAAACCCCTCATATCTAGACTCACCGTTGTCCAATTGTTAGCTGTCAAGAGGTGACTGGCTAGGACGGCAGCAGCTGCAGCATTGTTTCGATCCATCTTAAACACTGCCTGCACGTCGGAAATAGCTTTCTGGTAGGCAGCAAATTGGGCTTCATCGGGGAGATGGATATCTTTGGATGCTTGGAAATGAGATAGACCGAGGAGTAGCCGGGCGCCTTGGGATGCTTTTCCAGGATTCTATAGCCATGCAAATCGATAGATTGATCAAACAAACAAACAAACAAAAACAGTGGTACTTGTCAAAACAGACATCACTTTTTTAAGTTTAAGATTAATTTGCTGAAGAGGCTCTCACCACTACAAGACTTCTCTCCCAAGCTTGTCGAGCAAGTTTCTGATCACCCAGAAACCAGAAACAAGATCCGATGCCAATTCGTGGGTCAGGTAAGACATGGGGGGCTAGTTTTAAAACTTGCTGGTATAATTTTAACGCTGGCCGGAAGAACTTGCGATGAAATAAAACCCTGGCTTTCCCCAGTAATGCGGGTAGATGGGTTGGACGCTCTTTGAGGATTTCTTCACACGCTGTCAAGGCCTGATCATAATTTTTTTGTGCCAAGTACAAGGTAGCTACAAAATAATCGATCCAGTATTGTGATCAGAATGGAAAAATTCATGGACACAGTCAGATAAGAGATGGGAATTGATATCAAACCTCGGGCATCCAAAACGAGAGGGTTCCTGGAGTCAATCCTAGAAGCTTCATTGATATAGTGGGCAGCCTTTTCCAGCGTCTCGTCAGCAGTCGGTTGAGCCGGTGGGATGGTATCATATTCGGGTGTCTCTAATTTCAAGGTGGGAAGGCCTCGAGAGAGATTGATGGCATAGGTCGCAAGTTGGCAGAGTAGCGGTAGACATTCGGATGGCCTGTCCTGATCCCGTAGGGCTGTTAGGATAGATCGAGATCGGATGGATGGATGCGATTAGATGGATAGATAGAATACGGGAGATGTTAGCCTGAGTCAGACAATCGATAGATCAGTTGGATTGAAGAAGGGAAGGACTCTTTGACAGAGGAATCCCATACCTTGAAGTCCTTGATTTGCTAATGAGATCGCATCTTGCTTCAAATCACGTTTCCAGTATTCCATCGCAGCCCTTGTCCAGAACTTGGCAGGTAGTTTCTCCTGCAAAAAGATCCCGACGATCTCCTCTACTGAGCCTTCTCCACCGCAGAATTCAGCCAGATCTAGCTCGAGGGATTCAGTGTTGTTGTTGAGAGGTACTTCGAGGATACTGGAGGATGCCATCGCCATCGCACTGGCCATGGTGGTTTCAAATTGAATTGTTGGGTTATTATAACTTGGGCTGGATAGTGATCGAAGGTTGGAATTCCGAGCGTTGACTTCCGATTGCGACTTCGATACTGGATGGAATGCCAAGCTGGGTCGATCGCGGCTTGATTGAGGTTGATATGTATGTAGTTGACGATGTGGCTGGTGATGGATGAAGATGGATGGACATTGGGCTGGGCCGGCACTAGTACCACTGGAGTGGAATCGGTCGAGACACGTGACATCTAGCACCCGGAGTGTCACGCGTCCCCTCCAAGACTCAGCCAGCCAAGACTGAATTTGTGAAACTGTATTGACACCATCGGACATCATCCAGTGAAAGGCCTGTGTAGGCATGCTTTGGACGCGTACATCTTTCGAGCTTTTTTTTTATTTCTCTATGAAGAAGAAACCAAGCATTAGAGAAGTTGTGTATCGGATAGTACTCCAGGCAAAGGAAACTGGATGAAATTAACATTTCAATAACTCTTCGGACCGAAAGGCTAAAACAGGGATGTGATTACGCATGTCAACAACCACCGCACTCTCTTATCTTTACCGACAATTTGCCACGAATTGATGGCCGAGATGTCGCAATGTGTAGCAGACTAACGACCCACCGCGATCCATGCACCTTTCCTCGGTCAATGGCAAATGGTGTCCAAGCAGCTATGGTCACTATCGTCTAGAGCGACGCCCCTCTCTCCCTCCTCGGAGAAAGATTGCCTGTGTTGCAAACATCCGTGCTCAAGAGGAGCGTTTCGCTGGGATGATTGATTGGTGGATACTATGCGACCTCCCAGTTGTTGCAGCTTCAAGCAAAATCCGCACTATATGGCAATCGTTTTTACAAAGCTGCAAATCTGATCAACTTGAAGTGTGTTTTTTTATCAAGTCTTCATTTCCCATTGGAGTAGGTCGAAGCCTAGTTACCATGTGCTCACTGACATCGTCGATGATCGTAACATGCAACATCATAGCAGATCGGAAACGCGTTCTGCGGGGAATTACATCAGTTTGTGAGGATGTCCTTGTTAAGCATGCAGGCTGCTTTAAATATTTATATCCAACAAAGTGGCAGTGTCTTCTCCAACCGTCGCTTGAATGGAGGCCCAACACTTTTGTCTTGGTGAGAGCCGTCTTCGGTCTCGGTTGAGCAAGCGACCAAGGGGGTTTCGCTCGTCGCTCATGAGGATGTATTGCGTTCCTAAAGTAACACTGGTTGGTAAAGGAACCTGGGGGAACTAGAAAACCTGATGATGGGCTGATCCCCGATCTCATAGGCCACCAACACCCAACCTCTCGACCAATCAATCCTCCTTGTGCAACAAGTTTTTCACATTTAAGACAAAGCCAATTGAAGTCCAGCACCCTGAGCGATTTTACAAACATAACCCCCCTCCAGTCAATCAAAACAAGCTCGCTGGCTATTCTGAAACCCCATATCCGCATTTGACTTTTTATAAGAGCCCGCATGAAGCACAAAAGCTCACCGGCAGCCAGTGCCTCTCTGCTCGACCAGATTGACATAACTCCAGAGGAACGTGAATTTGGCTGGAACGGAAGCCTGAGTGGTGTCAGGGGGCTTAGTGAGCAGCAGGCACGGCGAATCTTACATTTCGAAAATTCCCTCAGGCAACGCCTTGAGATCGACAGAACCGAAGACCATGAGCGAGATGCGACATCTGGCAATGAATTCGGAAAGCTTACCTCCGTGAGTATCAATTTATCTGTGTATTCTTAACATTGTACGAATGGTATCTTTTCGGTCCGCTCATCCATGCTCCCCCAACTAATTACTTCTCATCAGGGTACCACCAATGAGCCTTTGGAAGTAGTGGCTGCAAGGCATTGTCGGGCAACTTGCACCCGGAACCCATTCAGTCCTTGTATTCTGAAGCCGCGGGCGTCACTTCCAGAGTACCAAAGATTGGCCAGTTCGAGACTCAACCGTTCTCTGCGCATCAGTAGCAGCCAGTCCTCTTTCTTACGGTTCAAGAGCATCAAGAGGTCAAAGTCTGAGGAAAGCAGCTGGTCGAGTGAATCCGACGAGTTTTCCTACCTCATCGCTCGCGAAAAGATAGGCAATTCAGATCAAACTAGCTTAAGTGATTCCTATACCCGGAGCCCAGGTAGCGGGGCCAATCTAGAGAGAAGTCATACCAAAACTGGTTTGCGTGGAATCATTCGAAAATTAGGGGGAGCTCTCAGTCTGAACACGAGTCGCTGCCACAGGAAGGCACATCCAGACGACAAGTTTCCGGAAGATGGCTCATATCTTTGTCATTTGTCTCATGACATGGTTGGTTCTGCATCCCCCTTTCCAATGCGCCCGCCCCTTTACCTAGGTTCGAATCATCCATCTACGTCGTTGAACGGGGAGTGGATAGGCGTCAGCCGGAAAGTGGTCTCAGAATCAAACCGCCAGTAAACTCGATAAATGCAGAAGCCAGATCAGGATTCTTCTTTATTTATCTCGACAGAGACGGAAGACGGAAAAAAACTGCAGATAGCTCCAACTCTCGATCGAACTAAAAATATATATTTATAATAACCCTAGAATTCCTTTGCGACTGAATTGATTTATTTGATTGTTTTTTTTTCCTCTTCTTCTTCTTCTTGTTCTTGTTTTCAATCTCCGGAAGAATGTTGACACACAACATGATTTTTGAAAAAAACGTAGAAACAGATGATTTTGTACCATTTAATTTCCACAGAGTAATTCACTTTGTATGGAGAAATTCGTTATTAAGGTGGTGGGAGATGAGCCCTGGGTATGGAAGCTCAAGTTAATCTCATGTTTCAAAATACCAACCAGACACGTTGGATGTGCATGGCTCAATCCATTTCCTTGAAGCTAGAATTGCAAGACAATATAGATCCCCTTAGCCATTATTGTTGTCTGTCTCTTCCCTCAGCTCCGCGTCACTTGAAATCACAGTTGAATTGGATCCGACATAACTGGGCTGATGTGGGGGTTGCTTCCTCTAAAAATCGGCCGCTACGTTATTTGCGCTCTTTGGTCGCCAAACGGCCAGTGAAGCGGCCTTCATTGACACCTCCGGAGCGGTAGTGCTAGCTAGCAGAACTAGCAAGCCGCTACCCTGAGCTTTGCAGCGTTCTGGCCACTTCCTCCGTTAATAGATACACAAACGTGAAGCAACAGCTGAAAACCACACCCGTCAACGGCCATGCCGCCAGCTCTTAGCCGGTACCCTTTACGACGCACTATGTAGCTAGCACAAAATGATAGCGTCGCTGGCCTGATAGTGTTGCAGGCTGTATCCAACGCGCAGAGCCGGTCGGATAGCACCTCATGCGATCCTTGCCGACTGACCAGAGGATTGCCTGGTTGGATTGGTCCTGACTACTCTAAATGAACCAGCTTATCTTGCGGCTTGCGCCATGGTCAGTTCGGATCGCGGTCAAGCCGAGCCTGCGTGTAAAAAATCTCTGGCTTGACTCATGAAAATATAAAAAGACGCCGTCGTTGCTCACCTCAAGCTTTCCCTCATCCCATCTTATCATCAGTCATCAGTCTTCAATCTAATTTCTTCCGTGCTTAGTATTTAATTTGCTCCCTTTACCAACCCCTTCAACTTCATCTATTCATAACTTATCGAGCCTGGTGCTCTATCTTATCCTCAAATATCTAAAACTAACTTATCCAGCCGCCCCATAACTTATTCTTATTCAGAAAACCATGTCTCGCTCAATCAGTGTACTAGCCGTTTCCCTCGCTCTTTTAATCGGAAACATCTATGGACAGGTGGCGATCACTTTCATGTACGGCCAAACAAACGGACTAACAGGCAAGGGCTTCGGAACCATGGATGGAGCCCCACGAGACATCACTACGTTCGTCTCTCAATCTGCTTGTCAATCGGTCTACATACCTCTCTCAAAGTCTAACCAATCTTTCTTCTCTAGGCCCCCTGCTCTTCTCGATACATCAATCATCAAAGATTCAGAAATCCAGAGCGGAACTGCCTCTCCCTGTGGACGTACAATCATGTCTGGAAAACTGGAAATGAAAAATTCTCTCAACCGAGGTTTGTCTTGCTTACTCTGAATAAACAAAAAAAACAAGACATCAAGCTTACTATGTTACTCTTTGAATCGTAGCTGAAGATGGAGGCTTGCCAGATGTTGGACAAAACGGCAAGATCAAACTGGTAGCACACGTGGTCAACCCCAAGGGTTTGTTGAGCAGACTTGTAATAATCAAAAAATTAGCGAAGAGGCCAAGCTGACTGAAAGCGTTTTCTCGTCTTTAGGAAGCGGCCCCTTCATCTGCGGAGTTGACACAAACGCCAATGGAAACAACTTCGCGACGATTCCCGTGACGGTGAATGTGCCTGCCAATGCCGCCGCCAACGGCAAGCCCCTAGACTACTCGCTGGAAGCACAACTTCCCCAGGGCACCAAATGTCAAGGAGGTGCCGACGGCCAGACCTGTATTGTTAGGTGTACAAACGTGAGCGCCAACACATCATTCAACAATCTTCAGCGCTTGTCTTTTCTAACGATGATTGTTCTTCTTTCGAAAGGCTAATGCCGGCGGTCCATTCGGCGGCTGCATGGCCTTCACTCAAATGCAAGGGCTGTACAACGATCCTGCTCCGGCCGGTAGTGGACCCACTGCTAGCTTCCAGCTCGACAGGATCACCGAGAACCCGGTTACACGTGAACCAAACCTTTTCGATGATGCCAAGTCCAAATTGTCACGTAAGTCTTGAAGCACTTGGCTTTCATTGCTACCACGAACCAGCCGCTAACGATTTAGTCCTCTCGCTTCCCTCCTGTCTATAATTCTCGAACAGCCAAAGACCTTCAAGCCGTCACCCCTCCAACCGGCAAAGCCAAAAGACGTTCGCTTCTCCAGTACCGAAAATAAGCTGCACTAGATTTTAGCTACCCCCTTAACTCTTGTCTGACGCCTTGTATTCTTAAATCCGTACCTGAGAAATTTTAATGTGCTTTTTTGGAGCTCAGTCGAACTCGCCCAATGCAATGATTGTGTCAACCATACCCCCTAAAAAACACGCAACTGCATGTGGTATTGATGAGTGAATACTGAAAAATGCGATTGTGCCGTGAATGTATAGTCATGTAACGACACGACACGATCTCCCTGTGATGACGGCTCGAAGCTTCATTTTCCCTCCTCAACATTTGGTGTCTAAGTCATCCAATTATGCCTAGTACATACCGCAGGTAGAAAAAGCCGAAAATGCACCCAGGGACCGATTGTAAACCTGATATTTGTAGTCACATCATGAACAGATGTTTTTTTTTTTGATGTGGAAATGAAAAGCACTTTCACGAAGATGACCAAACAAGCAAGAACAAAAAAAAAGAAGTGAAAAAAAAACGGTAACGATGATGACGAGGAAATGATAAAAATACATCTCCATGTTTCCGGGCGTATTATTGTGATTGGGGAAGGGATGCGATTTTGGTGTTGATTATTCAGTGAAGTTAGAGTTGAGTTGGGTTTGATCAACTAACATAGTGTGAGTTCCGGCTTTCCGTGGGAGAGGAGAGTCCATAATTGAGTGAGAGAAGGAATGTAACGATAAGTTAAGTAAATCGATCTCTCGAGATCAAGCAAACAACAACAACAAAACAAAAAGCCAGGAGCCAGGAGGGAAGTAAAAAAAGAAAGGAAAGTGGTCATTTTAAATTTATTCTTAAATTTTTTCTAGCCGAATCCGCCATGGCCCCCATGGTTTGGACGCTGTGGATTATTCGAATCTTGTTGTTCTATTCTGGTGGAGAGACCCCCACTGAGCGCGGTAAGTCTGCCTTGTAAGTGCAGATTATCCGCTTTCAGCCTCTCGTTTTCCAACCGAATTTGCTGCATGTAGTCAACCGCTGTTACAGAAAATGTCATCAAGATGGTAACATTGGAGAAAGTGGCTAGCTCAGTCAATTGATGAAACACAAGAGGAAGCAAAAACAAAAAAAGGTGCTAATCGATTGGAGGATTGAGATGCTCACCTCGACTGAGGGTTTCCCATTTACTTCCTTTGGAGTGCCTCTCGTCCGTCACGGGAAGGACTTCGCGTAATTCGTCAAACAAGTCTCTCATTTCCTTCCTTCGTTTCCGTTCAGCAAGTTTATGACTGATCTTCAATTCGGGCGAGCGTGAATAGGGACTAAGGGCGCCAGCTGTACCAAGCCTGTTAGCCTGGTTGATATGGTCCATGTCTTGCGGTCCACCGCCGTCGCTTTCCTCCGGGACGGGCCGTGAGTGAAGAAGGGGTAGACGGTCGAGGCGGGTGCCAGCCAACCTGTCTTTGAGTTCGTCTTCAACTCCCGATGAACGTCGTCCTGTCACCGGATCATCAAATGAGTTGGACTTGCTCAGGTTCCATCCTCCGTTTTCGGTCATCACTCCGGGTCGGGCCTGATAGCTCGGTCGGTTGTTGGCCTGTTCTCCAGGTGGGATTGGGGGAAACGCATAACTGCCAATGCTTGCAGCTACTGCTGTCTGGGTTGGCGAGAAGGGTGGATTTGATGATGATGACCAAGACCGATGGCGCAATGAATGGTCAGATATCAGGTTTGGGTTATCATCCGGTCCTTCGCCTCCCCCACTCCCACCGCTTTGCCTGCGATCGAACCATGTGCCGGTGCTACTACTGACAGTCGAAGTTTCGGACTGTCGGCGGACGTCGAGGCGATCATTAGCACTGGGTAGCATAGTATACTCCGCCAGGTCCTCCTGTTGAGAGTGATTGGAAAGCAGGCCAGGCGAATTCCAAGGATGATCAGCTGGTCCGCTCTGATCGGGCGGTAGAGCGTAATAGACGGGAGGGGGGACAGTGGAATCAGAGGTGCTTTGGCTGCTGTGGCGACGCTTCATTGGACTCGGAGGTTTCTGGTGCAACTGATGCCGGTGGTGTGGCGTTGGATAAGGCCATTGTGAGCCGCCAGGTAGAGGGAAGCCACGCGGATGATCCGATCCGCTTGGATTCGCAGCAAGACCAGGGGTGCGGACTTTGGACGGATCTTCGGTTTGGCCACTATCAAGCTCATTGAGGCGCGATGATCCTCTGCGTCTCATGGCGGAGGATGGCCGTCTGCTAGTGAGGGGGCCGATTGAGACGGCGTTGAGTTCGGGCGGCTGATGGGCTGATGGGATGGACGGGAAGCTTCTGGGTGAGACAGGGCTGTTGGACGTCTGCGGATAGAGGTGGAAGGAGGGCGAAGGAGGGCCTGCGGTGGTTGGGCTGAATTTGGACGGCTGGACCGGATGGTCAGCTTGGCGGAGACTGTTTTGCTGTTCAGCCAAAGGCTGGTTAGGATTGACAGTGGCCGGCATCGGATGGTCGGTTGGAGGGGGATGGTGTTGGTGGTGGTGGTGGTGGTGATGATGATGATAGCGGTGGTCGGGTGAGTTCGAGTTGAGTAAGATGTTATCGAGATCGGCAGCACTTCCACGGCGCCGGGCAGCCGGGTCGATGGATGGGCTGTGCTCGACCGGCTGGGAGGGGAGTTGGAGGTTTCTTGAGCTCTGTTCCGGTTCGGCACGACTGAGGCTTGGATGCTGATTCATTTCTCGGAGTGAAGGCAGTGTGGTACTCCGGGCACTACTCAGACTGGCTGGCTGAAGACTGCTAGCTGGAGCGGGTGGCAGGGAGTGGGCATGCAAGCTGGGGTCGGTGATCGAAGCTCGGCGGCGACCGGGTGGGCTGTCATCGGTGCTGATCGGCTGAAAGGGAATATCAGAGACAAGGGAATCAGGAGCCGAACGGACAACAGGCTGGGTGGGGGTGTGGTGGATGACGGATCGGATGAGCCGAGCAAAGAATCAAAATAATATTGCCATCTCTATGACCCACTGTCACCTCAGAACGAGGAATCACTGGATTCCTGGCTGAGATTATTGGCGAAGCAAATTCGAAAAATAAGCACATGGACATCACCTGGGGGATTTTCTGGTCCCGAGGAGAGATGTGGGGGGAGGAAGGGCGGGCGCAAGGGGAAGAGGAAAAGGGAAGGGAAAAACAGAAACAGAAAAAACAGAAACAAGGAGCAGGAGGGCGACGATACATTCATCAAGCACTTCATAACGCACAAGTTGTCTATGAAGTGGACTCGAGCCCAACGAGGGTAATTTCATTAAACCTGGCCCAGTGGTGGCCATCTTTTCCCTACTTTATCTGTTTTTTGTTTTTTGTTTTTGTTTTTTTGCTTGTTTCCCTGCTCTTGGCCGAGCTGCGGCGATAGTACTTGTGCTAGTTGAACGGCGTGTGTGTGTTGAGAGGCAGACACGGAGTAAATGACTCGGGAACCGGACGGCAGATCCAAGAAATTAGAGTAGTCAAGATGAAGCGGGAAGTTTCGCCAGTCCCGGTGGGTGTCAGTGGTGGTCCAAAAGAGGGGTGTGAATGCTTTCTGGTTGGAAGAGAAGGCACAGACGGAGCAGCAAAGAACGAAAACACAAAAGGAAAAGGGAAAGGGAAAAATAAAATGGGACTATGTAGCTGGTGAGGAACGAGGAAGATGGAGAGATAAGAGTACTGTGGGAGGTGTATTGGATTCAATTTATAATATTTATATAAACTGTAAAAGGTTGATGATGACGAGCTCCCTTGATGAAGAATGGGGATAAAATGTTTGTAAATAAAAGTGTGGTGAGGTGGAAGGGGGGGAGGAGGGGATTAAGGCGGAGGCTATTAAAGAGACACAAGAAATACTGCTGAACGCCAATGACGATCGTCGCTTGCCTCTCTGTACTCTACTTTCGCCGGCTGAGGAAGTGAGGCGCACACATCTGGGAGAGGGGTTCGAGTAGGCCGAGTGCAGCGGAGTCTGATAGCACTGCTGGGCGAAAGCAAAGGGATTGTCTAATATGCGCTTCTGCAGGTTCTGGAACAGTTGGGCTGGCTGGGTGTTGGAGTTATAAGGATTTCAGTCTCGCTGGCGGGACCAGTGCCTTCATGCGAAAGTTCTTTGAGCTGGTCGTCGCACCACAAAAAAACAAAATAATAAGTTGGATCTGTCAAGAATTTAAGTTCGGATTCTTAAAACCCAGGCAAATGAAGGGGGCTGTTCGAGCTTATAGAAAAACTCAAATGAACTGAGATTCCGACAAAACTGACTGTCCACGTCTGCCCAGAACCATGAACCGCTTTGTGAGTCTGTCGCACCTTCATGCTCACGCAGAGCCAGCGCAGATCTGAGTCGAAGTACGTACAAATATTCATACATAGAACAATCTGCAACACAATTAATGAAAAGAAAACAAGAGTGGTTCATGAAGAAAAACGCGGGAAAAGGCGTGGCCAGGCGAACATCAACATGAGGACTCATGACTCAACAACACCTCGGGCCCCATGAGGACCCCCTAAAAACCTGGCAGGTTCCAGCAATGATGTGACGACAAAATGGGTCGTACACATTTTTTTACTGGTTAAAACTTCAAATGAATCAAACGCTAACTCTATTCCGTATCTCAATTGATTACATAATACATACAGGCCCTCTTGGTATCGAGGATCCACAAATAACCGGCGGTACATTTTATTTACAGCATGTGGTTTACCCAGAAATTAACACATTCTTGTAGTAAAATACAGAAAGCTTAAAAGTTAATTGGATGGTCCTGTGAAGGCTGTACAAACATTTGGCCCAAGTAACATTATTCTGACTCCCAACTGCAATGATTAAAAATTCAAAGTTGAGGATTCCACAAGTTGATTTCTTGCAATGTCATATCTCATTTCCTTGCAAAATCCTAATACAAGAAAGACTTTTTTTTTGAATTAAGGAAAAATCAATATGCATAACATGATAAGACCATTAAACCATAACCATGCAGTGAGAGTAACATAGGTGATCGCCATCTCCTATTGACATTGTATGCAACTGTTTGGGATCCAGATTCCAGGCTGGAGCTTGCCAGAGCTTTGCAGCCATGGAACCTTGTCTGATGTTATCAGTATATAATAATATTATTCTTGCAATTTCTGTAGAAGAAAAAAAAATTGTACACCAGTGCGTACAATCAAACTGAATAAAAAAGGGCGTGAGTCTATCCATTTTTAAGGCCTAAGTTTTAACTCCTGAGAGCTCGTAATTCGGGATCGGACGGTGAGCAGGTATACTCTCGGCCTAAACCTGGCTGGGTCACCCGATTGTGAGCGTTAGATAGTTGAATTGCTTTCAGGGATCCAAATTCAACATGACGGCGGATTGAATTCATTATGACGAGCGAGATGTTTATAAAAGAAAGAATGCTTGGATGAACTTTTTGGCCCGTTGAGACTTGCTCCTATTCTTGCATATGTATTATAAGGCTTCAGAAGCAATCTGCGATCGTTGAAAACTTGAGGATTAAAATTTCAACTGTGCTGGAGAAGTGGGATGCAGCAAGACGATAAGATGTATAGGATGATGTGCGAGAACTCAATGAACCCAAAACTCCTGGGCGAAATCATTCATCAGGAGGCATCTCAGAAGTACTGCCCTAAAGAGCTTATGTACCCATACCCTTGGTCCACGTACCGGTACAACCATAGCCAGCCCTGGCCAATCAGTCTGGAGAATTTGAATGAGATACATCGATCTCACACCGGATGATCGCCGAGCATGCACAGTTTTTGAGTCTGTCGTACAACAATTGTGCCCACAAATCCTAACATGTCCAGAAATACCAGCACCCTCTTTCTTATCTTCCCCAATGTTCTATGATACATCTTATCTCAAATTTTAAGAGCTTCCAAGTTTCTTCGCTATATTATGTAACTTCACCTTAGATCTATCACATGAAATCTATGTATCAGGCTGATTCAAAATTGCCAACTGGACATGACTTATTCTATCAAGGAAGAAGTGGCCTGGAATTTATTGGAACCCTACGGCACGCGCATGACGAGACCGAAGACGTCAAGAGCAGGAGGGGCACTAGAATTTGACTGTTCAGACGCGTTGATCGTGTCAAAATGGGTGTTTTTCCGAGCAATTTTGACTGAATAATGTATAGGAAATTTTCATATCGATAAAGCCGCTGCCGATGAGCCAGAGGAGCTGCTCCAGCTCGAGAGACCGAGAATCGCAAGTCGCTCGACCACAGGCCAGAACCAAAGGCCACGCACATGATTTCATGGAGTGTATTGCGGCATCGGGTGACAAACTCACGCGGCTGAAGCTGTTTATGTTTGTCAATGTTGTATATTTCTATTCAGCCGCTGCTGACCATGATCTCGAGACCGAGGCGGGAAGCCCTGCCTAGCACGCCAACAGCTTCTCATCGCTCTTACATTTACACGTGAAAAGGAGGCCTATATACACGTAAATAATTAGATAATCAACCTTTTTAGTCCCTCAAGTATTATGGGTTATAGGGTGTCCGGACTGCTAGGCCAGCAGGGATTGCCACGCGCTATCTCTTTTGTGCACCATTTTTGCCTTCTATGATCTGCAGCGGGATATCCCTGCTTGACGGATCCACGAACGCTGGTTTGGTAGGTGTCGCTAGGTTTCGGTATCTTGGAGTTCCGTTAAACGCGTTTTTTTTTTTTGAAAGTGTTTATATCAAACTAATCTTATTCCTCGCACCAAGCTGGCTGAGAAAATCAGACCACGAGATGACTTGTGATATACTTTAACTTCCGGTCACGACTCACGAGTCACAATCAAGCGAGCCGTAGCCGATGCGACTTGTGCAGCGATGTGGGTACGTACCTCTTTGTGCTCTTGCCTATCTTCACATTGTTTGTAGAGCGCCACTCGACTGGACAAACATTTACGTGGGCCTGTGTGGGCGTTTGTAGTTTCAAGAGGTACATATCGAGCCCGTCGCCAGCCCTCGCCGCCATTGCTGTTGAGGATGCTCTCTTTGTCACTTGCCTGAAATTGGATCAACCCTTGTGTCTGAATGGTCATACGGAGTGTGCACCACGTAAAACCTGTAGAGATCAACTTCTCAGAAACCCTCATTCGAGGCTACATGCTTACCTGCCTCCGGTAAGATTTCTTGAGATATGCATCTGGAGGAAGACATTGGAAACTTGTGTGCGCTCATTGATATTGTACGCGAAGATCCGAAGAATGCTTTGGAGGATGAAAGATAGTGATGGCCAAAGCCAAAGCCACGCTGGATTGATGTCCAATCTTGTTCATTTTTATCTATTTACGGAGGCTCCGTTAAGCTTCAGTACACATTTGAGAAAATGTGCAGGATGCCCTATTATTATGTAGACTTGCGTAGGATACACATATCGAGGGTGCAATCTATGTGTTGAAAATCTACAATCAACAGTTCACTGTTGATATGTTCATTATTCTTATCATGAAGAGTCAATCTTCTTCAATGCTGGCACAATACTACAAGCACAGGTGCCCATGAGACATCAGTTCCAAGCATTCATGACTACATCTAGTTTGGGGATGATTTTTCTGTCTCCATTTTTTGAATATGTCCAATCAATTATCCAACGTCAACTCAAGAGCTAAACTGTATTTATTCCCACATGCACACTGTCCAAAGATAAAAAGGGACGTGAATCAATCATAAATAATGTCTTCAGGAGAGAAGGAAATCTTTTTCTATCAATGTATAATTTATGTGAAAGGGTAAGGACTAATTGGAGAATTTGAATCAAGAATATAATATATCTGGTGGACTCATCTGGAAAAAAAATGAATATGATGAACCAGAGTATCTCCATAGGTGATTTTTCTTGTGGGAATTGTAGGTCCTGGTATTAGCAAATATCCTTGTCCCATGGTTGATATGCCCAGCATCTTTATGCAAGATCTGTCAGCTTCAATGATAAACTTGAAATTTTTGATTCCTTCTTTTAAGACAATTTTCCACAGCTTGAATTCTACTTTTCAAAACATCAAACAAGAAGTTTGGTCTGCAAAGAAGAAGAAAGTCCATCTCTGCCTGTGGGTACTTAGAAGAGGGTCTTGCATGAAATTCATTTTAGTTTTCTATTATGAGCTTTGAGTGTACAAAACTCAGCCTATATTAGATATCTATTCAAAATTTGACTGCACAATTGAAATGTATGATGGATTTTAGCTGATGAGCTTTGGATTTTTCATCACTGTTGATTTTCTGAATCAATTGTTCAAACAGATGGGTCTAGGATACACATATGATGTGGAAAATCTGTAAATAAAGAAAAGAAGTGCTCATACAACAGAAACATTCCTGGTAAACTTTCTGATTTTTTGAAAAATTCCAAAGCACCATGAAAGTTGGAATGTCATTTGCTAGCAAGTGACATAGAGGAGGATTTGGGGGAGCCTTCACTGAGGCTTGGGTGAAAATTTCCTTTGTAAGTGTCCAAGCCACCACCACACCCATGTGTCTCCTAGTGCAATATGCAAGTGTGTCAGGTAAGCTTCAAGTGTAGGATGAACCAAGTAACACATGTAGCCTCTTGATGTCACTTGTTATTAAGAGACACAACTAATTTTGTGATGAAAGAAAGGTCACAAAATAAGCAAAAATACACACATACAGTGAGACCTGTCTAAGGGCATGCCCTTCTGTGTGCATAACCTGTACAAGGGCACAGTGAAGGGCTTTTACCACATCTTGTGTTTGCTGCAAACTCAATCTCAGGGAATAAACTGGTGTGGTGGCGGGAGCGCACCTTGGCCAAAGCTTTGGCCGGTTTGTTTGGGGCATGCGGAATGCTCGCGGCGCTGATGCGGAAAGCACGCGGAGCTGAAGCTACACAAGCAGGCTGAGGAAAGCTGCGGTGCATTAGTGGAAAGTCTAGCTTTCCGAGGCGCGGGAAAGCGGAGAAAAGTAGACCGAATGCACAAGGTTCCGAAAAGCTTACTGCGGGGAATCCGGGCACCGGCGGACACCGGGGATCACGGCCGACTGCGGAACGGGGTTCAGTGTATACTGCGGAGGGGCTACAAAGAGCGGGGAGCACCGAGGGGCGGAAGCGGGGTTCGGAGCGGACCAGAGGCGGAAGCGGCGGTGGGAGACCTGCTTACGAGCGGCCGGAGGAGTACCTGGACCGGCAGGCGTCGGAGGGGTGACATGCGGAGTCCGAGGGGGTGGCAGCGGATGACAGCGCGGGAAGTAGTAAGGGACCGGAGTGTGGGAAACTGAGGAGGGGTGGACTTCGAGGCAGAAGAGGAGGGAGAGAGGGGGGACTTATGACTCAGAACATATCAGAAAAACAGAGTGACTTAGGAGTGAATCGTGTATTAGCCTAAAGAATTGTTAGAGATAGATTAGAGTTAGAGTATTACCTACAAGCAAGAACAATAAAGAGTGTTATTTTACCTACCTACAAGACCATCAAGCAAGTTACCCCGGACAACAAATCGGAGTAAGACGCGTCGCGGAGCGGAGAAGAACAGGAAATCCTCGAGGGCGCACCTTTCTTTCCACACTGGTTGAAGGTATACTTCCCCCCAGGGGTAAGCCATTGATCAGGCTTTTTAGAATCAATTTCTGAAACCTAATGTCCAGTGCACAATCACATCATAATTATAAAAAAGGTCAGGTGGGGAGTCTCTTGGGTATTCAAAACTGGCTTATCAGCATTGCCAAGTTCTTATGGATTTGGCAAGGGCTGAGAAGAAAAAAGCTAAAACATTCAGCAAGCAATAGTGCATTGGCATGTCAGGTATGTATGAGTTGTCACTAGAAATTATTCATGCTGTGGGTTCAGGTTTGGTTGAACTTCAGCTGATGTATATTTCTTAAACCTGTGCACTCTATAGTGATTAGATATTTTGGCACAGTTTGATTTGTGTTTGTTGAGCTCAACATCTCTTACAGCGCCAAGTACAAACCTCAAAGCATTTGCCCTATGGTGACTCATTCATCAAGATAAAAGAAAAAATGAACATTTTTTTCTCCACAAGTTTCAAACTCTACACTTGTTAAAAATACAGCCATCATTCACAAAACACTTGATTGTAAAGAGAAAACCAGTAGTTAGGGAGGAATAATAGAAGTGAAATAAACGAGAAAATTTGATCTATACATTCACTTAGAGAAAAAAAGGCGGTTTACCCAAGCTTTAAAGGTCAGAAGTATTTAAAAGAAATTGCGTTGATGTGTATAAACCAATGATGCGAGACGATTGCGATAAAAAAAAAGAAATAAAATGCTCATGGTGATGTTTGTAGCTATGAACTTATACTAACAAAGTGTTATCTGAAGAATGATTGTGACTCCAGAATCTCAAATTGACGATTTGACGCGACAAGCAATATGAATCTGCTGGAACGAGAACGCCCTATTTGAAAGGCCACTCCGAGTGAACTTCTTAACTAAGTCGTTTCTGAATGAACTTGGCCAAAGTCTGCCGTTGAATGTGTAGAAGACCCCTCGTATATTCGCATCCTTTGGAAGAGGTAAGACAGGTAAACATTCGCAATCAATACCGTTATTTATCAGTTGATTTATAAACTGGAAAATGTGCCAGACAAAGGAAAGGAAAAACTGACAATCTTGGAGTCTCGCCAATATTTTTCGATTCCAGTTTCTCGAGTAAAACCGACTCCTCCACACCACTCGATAGCACTTCCACTAGCGTTTTGGGCAACTTGAGACGAAAACAATTTGGCCATGGCTGCCATCTCTGTGAATGGCTTGCCTTCCTCCTTCAATCGGGCCGCGTTGTAAGTCAACATCCTTGCGGCTTCTATCTCCGTATGAACATCGGCAAACTGAAATTGCATTCCTTGGAACCTGGAGATTTTTAGATAATTGAATGCAAATTCTCATGCAAGTTTCTTTGGGACGATGGACTGCAGATGCTTACTCTCCAACCGGTTTTCCAAATTGCTTGCGTTGATAGGTGTATTTGACGGCCTTGTCAAATGCACCTTGAGCCAAGCCGACCATCTGAGCAGCGATTCCGATTCTGCCCTCATTCAAGATTTCGATGGCATATCTGAAATAATAAACGGAATGCATAAGAACAAAGACAATGGATTGGCTGGGTAGGGATTTTTAATCTTACTTGTATCCCAGACCCTCTTGACCAATCAGATTCTCCTTTGGGACCTTAACATTATCGAAATTCAAAGTACAGGTCGAGGAGGCTTTGATGCCTAATTTTTCTTCCTTCTTAGCAATCTCGACACCCATGCTTTTCTCCAACAAGAAACAACTGATCCCCTTGTAGCCTTTACTTGGATCGAGATTTGCAAATACAACGAAGATCTCGGCTTCCTTACTGTTAGTGATCCACATCTTACTCCCATTGATGATATAATCACCATTGGAGTCTTTGGTCGCCCGAGTAGCCAATGCGAACGCATCTGAACCGCTCCCAGGTTCGCTAAGACAGAAACAAGCGACTTTGGAGGTCGAGAGGTCGGGCATATATTTGTCCAAGAGCGCCTTGGAGGCGTAGTTTCGGATGGTCGTATTGGCAATCGTGTTGTGTACGTCACAGATCAATGAGACTGATGGGTCTACTTTGGCGAGTTCTTCGATCACTAGTATCGCTGAAGTAAACGAAGCGCCCGAGCCACCATGTTCTTGAGATGTTTCGATTCCCATAAACCCGTTATCAAATAGGCCCTTGATGATCTCCGGATCCACTGCAACCACAGCCAGACCCAGGTCAGCTATTGATTTAGGGATTTGAATCAACTGAGCGGGATTGGTTTAAATAAATTTCACTCAACTTGTTTCCTTTTCATCCATCTCTCTCACCTTTGGGGCGACAACTTCTTCAGCAAACCTTTGGGCCAGATCTTTGAGCATCGACTCATCCTCGGTGAATGTATATAAGGAAGTGGGCTGAGGTTCTCCATCCTGAGATCGAGCGATTGGATGGCTGGAGAAGGCACGTTGAAGAGCTGATGTGGGATGACGAGAAGAGAGTACTCGGGGGGTGGGCTTGGAGGATCGAAGAAGTTGCTGGGTCCGTAGGAGGACTTGACGAGAAGGGTTCGTGAGCATGAGGACTGATGAGAAGATGAAGATGAAGGTAAAGAGAATGGTTTGTGGAGGGTGAAGTTGGTGTTGACCGTTTCCGCTGAGTCTGGGTTCCGTTTTGGGAGTGATTGGCAAGCAAGTGGTACTGAACACAGCACCAGAGATCAGCTGATTCCTTGAGATCAGAATTCTAGCATGACGTCATTTAGTCAATCCGACACCCGATCCGCAAAACAGAGAGATATTGATACTGTCGGATATCCAACCAATCGGATAGAAATCTGGCGGCTATGCATATGTAACTTATGGTATGCAGGTTATGTTTGAATCTACCTCCTCTAGCTGGCTAAGTTAGCGCCCGCAGGCACTACATACCATACCATACCTTACCTTACCCTACACTGTCAGGCTGCCGTGGGCTAGGAGGGGAGACTTGTGATAAGTTAGGCCAATTTAACACTTAGCCGCCGGCTACAGTGAAACCAATCCACCCCACTCTGCTAAAGATGCTCTTGTCCTTGATCCCATCGTTACCAATCTTCTCCTTCATGATACCTATTCCAGCTGCACAATTTAAGATTTGGCATCGTCCAGACAAAAAACATCATGGCGTAGTACATAGTTGCACTAGATGCTACCTCGCTGACGGCCAGTCGGGTCGGCGTCGCTCAAAATGACTACGTACGAATTCCAATTTGAGAATCTCATCGAGAGTTGCGTACTCTTGTATTCAGAGGAAACTTGAGATGTGGAAACATGATTTTGGTCTTAACGAGAGTTGCTCAGACTCATTGTTGAATGTATAAAATTTATGAGAGAAGTTTCCATCCCCAATACTCGGTCCGCCAGTGCTTAATTGTCTGTTAAGATAAACTTAAAACGTTGTTCTCAGAGGGAGGCTCATCTGGAGGTCCGGTCTGTTCAATTGATTTGGGGATCTTTATAAATCTCACCGGCCAGCTAAAGGGTACAACTAGTTCTGAAACCTTTCACCATGCTCACCTGGTTATTTTGTCTGCTGGTAGGTCCTTTCTTGAACTTATCCTTGTGTCACAGAACCGGGGAAGCTTCTGAGGATTCTTTATTCTTTTACAGCTCATCGAAAAATGCTTTGCAATGCATTGCCCTCAACGATCACCTCTGTGTCGCCCTCGAGAAGATCATCACATCGTTACGATCGATACTTTGTCGCCGGATCCAATCGATCCAATCCAGAAAGACTCATGTATTGGTGCCTCAACAAACACAGAAGCTTATGACCCTGAAAGACCGGCAGTTCATTTGGCTTACAGTTCCAATCATCGAGTAAGTTACAAACCTCTTTTCCCAGATTCCAAAATAGAAAATGGTATCTCCAACTAAAAATTTCCAATGGGATGGCTCGTGGTCTCACTCCAGGGGGACGAAAATCCGTCAACGAGCATTGCGATTGACAATCACCCAGCAGAGATTGAAAAGATGACCCGAAGCAAAAATTCGAGGACTTCCAGCTTACAGGATCCAATATCTCTGTCACCCATTCCTAATGTGGAGCTTATCTCAAATGAATCCGAACAGATAGCGAACCAAGTCGCCCAGATACATGTATCACATACACCAGAAGCTACAGATTGCCCTATTTGCTTTTTAGAAATAGTGCGCCCGGAAATCGACCAGTCGGGATCGGATATCAATCAGCCAGGACCGAAGATCAATCGATTCGGATTGGAAACCATTCAATCAGAACGGGAAAACGATCAGTCAGAAATTGAAGCGTGCACTCATTGCCACAGAAGATTTCATTCTGAATGCCTCCAAGCCTGGCTAAAAAAGAAGAATACGTGCCCAACCTGTTCTGAACCAGATCCCATACCTGTCCATTCCCCTCAGGAAATAGTAAAATCCCCTAATCCTGTTGTAAACATTTATAACATGGTGAACCAGTGCAAAGGGATAACAAAAGCGAAGATCATGATCAGGGACCACCCAAAGGTCTTTGAAGCTGCATTGGTATCCCTTATTATGGGCGTAATTTTGTTAATATTCACCAGGCATATTCCAAAGTGAATGCTTTGAATGTATCGTGAATCATTCCTAAATATCTTTTATTTATTTCATATCCTTTCAATTTTTCTCTTCCCCATCAATATGGATATAATCAAATTTTACCCAAACATCCCTGATCTCGTTACATGTATGCCTGTTTTTAATAATTCCCACCAAATCAGGTTAGATTTCACATAAATTCAGGGGGGAAAAAATGTTTACTTATTTGCCATATTTTGAGATGATTTCAGGGCTGAATTTCAGGTTTCTTTCTCAAATAGTTAGTTGGCACTTGGGAGTCAAGTGTCTCAAACCTGTTCTTGAATCATTTGATTCAAACTTGCAATCAACTGAATTCTTCCCTCAAAATCCATTTTAACCATTACAATTAATCTTCTTTCCCCATTCACTTCCCTCCACATCTCCTGTTCACTCACTGATTTCCTCTGTTGAATTTGGCTGAATTCCCAATTATTTTTTTGATAAAATCAGATATGTAAATAATTCATATTGAATGAGGGAGATCATTAGACTTGAGTACCATCTCAATCCCTTTTTGAATGGCACAAGAATTATTCATGTCACATGGTGATAAAAATTGAATGTATTTTTATCTCATGTAGAATTACCTACTGTGATTCCTTCAACCCAAAGGTCAATCCATAAAAGGATTTTTAGACAGCAAGAAACAAAGCTTTCCTCTGCTGTTTAATGGTTGAGTAATCATGAGATGCAATTAAAAAATCCAAACAGAACTGAAGTTGTTGAACATTCCACTTGATTCTTGTCAGATATTCAGGGCCCATATTGTGGGACTGTAAGTCAATTCTGTCTTCTATACAAGGGAAGCTTTGGGGGCACTTTGTGTTAAGTGCCTTGTTGGTAACCATTTTGCATAACTGTGTCAAATGTATACTATTTCATTAATATAAACAAGTGTAATGATTTTTGAAATCATATAGAATTCATCCAATAATCAGCTGGAACTCATCTGTAAATTAGTTGCAACTAAACAGGACCAAATAATACAAATTGACTATAAAAAAATTGCAATCAAAGTGGAAAGCATCAATCAAAAACTGCTCATACCAGGGGGGCACTTCTAGCTGAATGGGGTCAGAAATGTTTCACCCTCATTTAGTGGGTGGACAGTGGACACACCCCTCTTTTCTGAACAGTGTGTGATTGGTGTGTTATTTTTCAGCAAGTTGTGCTTGCACACAATTCAGTGACATATCACACACTGTTCAGATCTGAGGGGAATGTCCAGCTGACCAGTGACTGGTTTTTTCCCCATCATGTACCCAATGAACAGGCCCCTCTGGTGTGAAAAATGTATGATCTGTCACCCTATTGTATGTGAGTGGAATAGGGTGACAGTCTACAGATCATAGACTGTTCTAACCTGCTCAGCTCGACATGCTCATCTGGTCTGGAAAGTGTGATATGTCGCCCAATTGTGATCAAGAACAATTCAGTGACATATCACACAATTTCCATACCAGAGGAGCATGTACATCTGAATGGTGCCTGAACTGTGACAGTGACATAAAACTGGTGGGCATTCCCCTCTGGTATGAACAGTGTATGATATGTCACCAAATTGCACTTAAGCACAATTCAGTGACATATCACACACCAATCACACACCATTCAGACCAGAGGGAAACGATTTGGTGAAATATCCATGTATGGTAATTTAATTGAAAATGGAGAAACAAAATTATCACAGTAGAATTCAGCATGTCTCCAAAAGAGTTGAATGATAGTTGGAATTAAATAATTTGGGTTGGAAAAAGGACTCCCAAATTTTAGGCAACAACTCCCAACAACTGTTGATGGACATCTTTTGGGAGTTTTCTTCTACTTTTTTTTTGGAGTCATCCCACTATTTTTTTTTCTTCAATTGTTTAGGACTTGGCCCCCAAACCAACCCTCATGCATTGGGGGGGGGGGGGGGGGGAGTTGCTCCCACCCCTCATTGAATGTAATGAATCCCTTCCATTTGATGAGTTTGTTGTAAATTTCTGGCCAAGAGGCACCCCTTTTAGTCAGTGAGGCACTCATTGACCAGAAGGGATTCCTTCTGGTTGATGAGGGGTGGGAGCAAATCCCAAACCCCTCCACGCATGAGAGGTGGTTTGGCCCTGGGGCACCAAATCCCAAAAAATTGAAGGAAAAAAATAGTGGGATGACTCCCAAAAGCAGCCCCAAAAGTAGAAGACAAATCCCAATGGACGTCCAGAAATGGTTGTTGGGAGTCATTGACTGAAATTTGGGAGTTGTTTTTCCAACTCCCTAGATAATTACAGATTGATTATTTAAGTGAATAATTTGGAAAAAAACCACCAATTAAACATGTTGGTTCTTTATTTACCCCCTTTGGGGACCCATTGAGGCAAAATTTTCTTTTTGGAAAAGTCACTGGCTTCTAATGGTGGATTTCTATCAGTGATCAATGTTATATGATGTCACTTGCCATCTAGTGATTTTCCTGGTGATTTGAGAAAGATAAATTATGACAAATCAAGTTCTCTTTCCCTGAGGTACACTGTACAGGCCCTCAATCATTTCATCTTGTTGAAATTCTGATACTGTTTTTAATCATGCCAAAACTCCTACTCTTATTTGATATTTTCACGTGAAGTTTTTTTCATTATAGCCTGTCTCTAGTCTATGTTATGCATGTCTGACCCAACTTCTTGAAGTCAAGAGAACCCTGAAGAATAGGGCTTATCAGCTCTCTAGCTAAACTTGCCCTCCTGTGTGAATTCTTCTTTGTTGATGCATATCATTTTGAATTGGGTTTCTTTTTTGTTCTTTTTTGTTCCAACCACTTGCTGGCCCTTTTGTATAGTCTATTTATATCAGCTAGTTACAAGAAATCAAAAACCATTGGTTCTCTCATTTACAAAACTGTGCCAAATTGAGCCCCTTCTATTGTGCCACTCAAAGAACTTTCAAATCCCCAGTTCTCATTTCTCAGGATTCAACACTCCTAATTTCTTCACATCTGCTACTTGTCATGCAAATCAACCTCAAAATCCCAACCCAGTTATCTCCACGGACAAATCAGAACCATTCAACAAGAAGTTTTTGACCAATTTAGCTAATGGAAAGTGAAAGATGTGATTGTTTACTTCCTTGAAAACCAACAGTCCACTGGTCAGAGCTGAATGAAGAACGGATAATCCTTCTCATGATATTCAACCAGCACAGTATGTGCACATCGCCCCAATGAATTTGAGGGGAAAGTGCATAGAGAGCCCCACAATTATTGGGCCAGAAATTAGTTTCAGTTGGGATGTGTAAAAGCATCATCAATCAAATTTGTAAGCTGGTCATTGAAGGGGTTTTTGCAATTCTGTTGTGTACCAATCATAAAGAGGAGAGCTTAACCACAATTTGGTACCTGTGATTGGTAGAGGAGAGTTGATTTTTATCTTGGATCAAATATGGAGTGGTAGATTAATATTCAGAATAGATGAGCATTGTCACTAAACCTCATTGACATGATGGGCTGTGGGATATTTCCACTTAATCTGTTGAATTTGAAAGGTGTAGTGTAATCTGGGTTTTTGAAGAAACTCAGGATTTTCGCCGAGAGAAAGGGGGAAGAGACCGGGAGATGAAGACCTTGAGGAAAAAGCTCTGAGGGAGAAAAAATGGTCTTAAGAGCCCAAAAAGGGGCTAGAGTCTGCTAGCTTGCGTGACGGAAAAGTGTACACGCTACAAGAGGTTGTATTTGTTATTGACCTCAGGGAAATGGCGCAGAAGACAGATGACCTTTTCATTTTCTAACTCAGAGGCATGACAATTTATCTACATACATCAGTGGCGGAGTTGTGGGACACAAGGTGAAAAAGATAAATATTCATCTGGAAACTGGGAGAGAGAGAGTGCCAGATGAAGGAGTGTGACAGGTAAGTGATAGGAAGAGAAAGAGGAGAACACGATAGCTTCAGAATTCCAACAGTTTTGGTGACACCAACACCAATCTCTTAAATTTTTCTTGAAAGATCTGCCTTGGCTACCTACTACTCTCACAGACCAACAATGACATCCAACACACATCATTGTCCACCCCTTCCACTATGTGAATACATGACAAATGGGATTAGATTGATTAGATTGGCAGCTGTAGGATACACAGTATGATTTATCAATCTTGCTCAGTTTTGAACCATCAGTACCATCACTCTCATTCAGATGGGTTTTTTACCAACATATAGACAGCTGAAAAATAACATACACTCTGGTCAACCAATCTGAAATTGAATTGTAGCTTTAATTGAATGGTGACTCCTCCCTATCACTTGAAACTACCAAGCCCAGCTTGTTTTACAGGAAATCAATTGTTACACTCACCACTAAGATTCCCTGCTCTTGATTGGGTAGTTCATGATGGATAGTAGGTGGGACAATCATCAAACAATGAGGACAGTTGTAATAGTCTGGTTTCATTTGGATGTTCTTCTTCCTGATGATATGTATGATTAGTTTAGGTTTTTTTTTTTTTGGAAAGAATGCAAAAATTTCTTGTTTCATGAGCACTCTTTACGATTTTGTGGCTAATGTGTACAGTAGAGATGGCTGCAGGTACCTGCCAGTTTAGTATGACAGACACCCATTGGTGGATGTCCAAATGGAGTGGAATCCCAGGCCGGTAACTGGCCATAAATTGTGGCTGAAAAAGGCATTACATGGCTGTTTGTAATTGTTGGTGTGTGTGGGTGTCCAAGATGAGTGGAATTTCAAGCAGGTAGATGCACCTACAGATGGGAAGGGGCAAAGTGCCATGTCTGGTGTAGGGGGTTTCTCAGGTGATTGCAAGTGAAATTGGCATGAGTATTTGGCAAGTTGCTCTGTACAGAAAACTGTGGATGCTAAGTTGCCAGATTTGATACAAGTGCTACTGTCTTAGTGATCATGTATTTATATCTATGCCATGAAAATTGCCACTCACAAAACATAGTTTTTTTTGCACTAGTATAAGTGGTACTGGTATAGTTTACTGATCAGAACCTCAGAGAGAGTAAGAGCTTCTGAATCCAAAGAGAGAGAAAGACAAACTAGAGATTATGTTTGTATTGATGGGAAGATCTCAATCAGTCATCAATCAATATAACATTATGTACAGCTCCTGATGGTTTTTTAGTGCAGCTTACATAAGAATGAATCTTCTTATCTGAGTTTCATCAAGGGCCAAGTTAGCTTTTGAGGATGTAGTGTTTGGGTATGAAGGGGGAGCTGATTCTGTTTGCAGTACTGTCACATGTGCAGTTTGTGTCTGGTGATCTGGACCCGGCTGGCTTTTTGTGTTTTTGTGTTTTTTTTTTTGTGTTTTTTGTGTTTTTCTGTGACAGGTCTGTTGATTTCCGATGGGGTTTGGACTCACTCTCTCCCATTCCGCTACCTCTCCCTCCCACTCCCTTTTCGTTCTCCCCTTTTTTCTTCTTCTGCTTTTCTCTTCAGCCCCCCCAAAAAAACCTATCAAGCAGATGATGAACCTGACTATCAACCTGAAGGATGAACTACCGATCGGAACACTCTGGCTGGGTGAGCGAACTGAATGACAGCTATCAAGAGACAAGAGCACTAACTTGTACATTGTGGTCTCGATTCTACAGCCTTCTCGAGATCAAAACCAATCATCCAAGATGGTCATCGATTGGAAAACCTCAGCTGGAGATTATGGCAACGAGAACTAAAGCAGAACAACAGTCAGTAAATCAAGTATCAATAGCAATCATCATGATGATGGATACTAACAGCCCTTACTCTTTACTAGGAACTCTCAACCTACTCATCAACTCCATCATCTCACTAGACCCACTACAGCCCATAACACCTTCCGATCAACAGTCACCCTCAATCGACATCACTCCCAGGCCTAACTCACCACCCAGCCAACTACACTCACCACCCAAAATCATCAACATCGCAACCCACACCACCCATCCTAGCCTCACCAGCTATCACCCCACCCACTAGCTCAATCATCACTCATCATCACTACCCACATCAGCCCATCAGCTTCCTTACACTCCACCAACAACTGGCTACTCTCTCCCCCAGCAACAGAGAACAACAACAACAACAGCCTACCTTCAGATTCACGCTCATCCTCAAGCTACTTCACTCTTCAACAACCATCTCGACCCTCAATCGACCAGCACTACAGCAGTGGCTCAAACACCTCCAGCAGCCTCGCTACCTCTCCATCCATCCAAGCCCCTCCTGATAACCATCTCCTCCAGGATCATAACAAACACATCAAACAAACAGTCGATCGTCCCAAGCATACTGCACACAACCTTCACCCTCTCCCTCGAAGGGCTACCTCATCCACCGCCACCTTCAAACACAAACGTCGCCCTCCCGTTCCCACCCGACTTCACTCCCACCAATCCACTACTCGTTCAGTCAGTCCTCGTCTAGTCCAACCCTACTACTGCCGTAGATCATCCTTACCCTCATCCTCCCCCGAACAAGTCCAAGAGCCCCCCAAGCCTCTCGATCCATCACACCCCACCCAGCTCATCACCTCACCCTCCTCAGTCACCCATCCTCATTCATCCCAAAACCATCCACCTCAACCGTCGCTCGCCCATGATCCTGATTCTCAGATAACACTCAGCGCTGGCTATAACTCTTCAGGCAGCTTGCCCAGCCTAGTCTCTCCAATCATACCCGAGACCCCTAATAACTCACAGGTCTCAGCCCCATTACCGGTAGCCGAAGATGGGAGGATCCCAGACTCATTAGCCTCCTCACATACC